TTTCCTGACACCTCTTTATATTACATTTCCTTTTTTCAATACAGGCTTAATATCATATTTTGTGGTGATATGACTGTCTTAAACGCTCAGTACGCCATGAAGGCTAACAGTAAGTGCTGAAAGGTGTTCTTTAGATAGAAATCTGGACAACTAAATAAAACCCCAAAACGATGATAGTTACCATCTTGCTATCGATGTTTATGAATAGGAATGGGTTGTTAATCCCGTAGAGCACTGGTGGTCTAAGAGTCAAGCGGATGACGTTATGAGGTTAGAACTGGTCGATTTAAATGATTTTTCGCCGATATTCTCTTTTGATTAGACTGTTTATTAATGATTATGGAATGGATTTTAGGATCAGATTCGAGTAACTTTCTATCGATGTCGGGACGGAATACGAAAGAAGGGGTACCAGTAATACAAGCGCATAGAACCATATTTGATATCACCTATCGCTTATGCAAATCCCGTTAAATGGCAAACCACGTGTATTATCCGTCCGTGCACATATTGCAGCGAATGTATTGGAATTTGTAGCATAGTCGGGAGCGTGTCCAGGAATTTAAGCAGAGGGGGATCCAAGGTAGAGACAACGCTAAGAAGCTTTGAGATAATATTTCTGCTCATTTAGGTGCATAACGTTACAACAGAGTACACCAAAACATCGGCAATACTTCACACTTTGTTTTTATCAACGTTATTTCCATATATGTAGGAGAGAAAAATCCCCCTCCCCCCTCTCCCCTCCCCTGTCTGGACACGCGCCTGATAGTAGCATACTACTAGTCTCAGAATGACCAACAATCAGCTGACGAGATGTTAAATTCTGTTCCTAACTATTTAAATCATCATTAATTACTGGCACTTGTCCATTTGGATTATCTCTTCTTATTTTGTTTGTTCAGTTAAACATGCATTATGCAAGAGCAAAATCTGCTTATTACAAGTCTTTTTTTAGGCCTGAAATGTTATCTAAATTATCAATTAGACATTAATTAACTTATCCAGACCATAATCAACTCTAGATGGCCTCGCTAGCCCGCGATCTTAAGTGGATTGTGAGCCGATTTACTGCATAACTTTCCTTCTCTATTAAACGATTAAATAGATAATCGAGACTATGCTGTTTATCGTACTGACTTTAGTAATGATGACCGAGGCTAGGCAGAAATTTCATTCGCTTAGTTTTCGGTTCATAGTGGATCAATTTGAATGAAATTTTCAGCAAATTGCCTTTACGTTATCTAGTTTTTAACTATTATAGTGAGAACTGCCAACTCGTTATCGAATCTTTCATAATGTATCTTTAAATAAGATTTAGTGTTTAATGTCAAAACCTGTCCTATTGTTTATTCGCCATTCGTATGTACATGTATACAAACAGAAACCAATATTTCTTTTTTTTTTTACAAAATGAGAATTAAATATCTCTTGACGGGCTTTTCCTTTCCTGATTAATAGCGAGGCTAACAAAAGTAATTAACCGTGTTCATAAATAGAAGCATACCAAATTGAAGTCATTCATATAGAAACCCGTCCCTGTTATTTGACACATTCCTCAGTAACACAAGTTTTAAAGATACTCTCCCAACGTCGGTTAGAATGACACTTTTCTTATAAGAAGGAGCCTTGATTGTCGAACGGTAATGAATCTGGGTACGAGATCAGAATGTACATGGAATCCCTGCGTATACCAAGCAGAACGAAACCTCCCGAGGTATCTTTAAAGTGGACTATTGATCTGTAAATGGGGCTACAGTTTCCTTTCCATCCTAGTCTTTGAACTGTGATTTCCCATTGTGAATCACCTGGCTTTTCAAATTATATATGGATGAATTAATATTAAAAAATAGATAGAGGCATTGGGTTGATTTATTTCCCCTTTAGTCAAATATACTGCAGGTGTCAGTATGAGCAATACGTCTTTTCGGACTGCCTGTTTTCACAAGGCGAAGACTAAAATATAAATCTTCAAAAAAAGTAGGGGATATTCAGAAACAATACAAAACTGCTGTTTTTATTAGAGGTAACCAGTGTGTGTTAATAACAGGCCAATTGCCTACACATGAACATAAACAGTTCATATGGGCGTCTTATCTGACAGCCCCATTTCACACGCAAAGAGATACACTGTCAAAAGTGAAACTGGACGTTTTTGATTTTTGTCTTAATAATGAGTAATTGCTCCACCAAGCCTCAGATATTCAGCAATTCGTCGTGGCAATCAACCGTACAATCACGATTTGGGGCAATCTGACCAACTCCTCTTGCAGTGCCACGGCCAATTCTTGCAGTGTTGTCGGTTGACGTTGACGTCGACGAACACATCTCCCGATCATGTCTCAGACATGCTCTATAGGGGAAAGGTCAGGACTCATGGCTGGCCAATGCATATGGACAATATGGTAACGCTGGAGGTAGTCATTCACGACACGAGCTCGGTGGGCACGAGCATTATCATCTTGAAAGATGAAACGTCGACATGCACGTTGAGCAAAGGGCAGAATTATCGGGGCCAGGATGTGGTCACGGTAGTACACACCAGTGACCCTTCCTTGAGCAATATGCAAGTCCGTTCTGCCAGTCATGGTGATTCCTCCCCACACCATAACAGACCCACGCCAGAATCTGTCATGCTGTCTGACGTTAACGTTAGCATGACGCTTAATTACACGCCTCAAAACGCGAGCACGCTTATCGGTGAAATCTAGAGTAAATCTGGACTCATCTGAGAACATTACACGCGCCCATCGACGATTACCCCAATTTCTACGCTGCCTACACCATTGACGCCTGTTTGCGATGTGCTGGCGAGTTAATGGAGGCACAACACGCGGTCGTCGCGCATGCAAATGGGCTGCATGTAGCCGATTTCTAATCGTTTGGGGTGAATTCCTGTAACTTGCTTTGTCCTCGATTTCACAGGATCTGTGTACGAATGTATCGATCCTGGGCTTGTGTAGTGGCTCTAGGACGACCTGAACGAGGTCTTTCATCAACATTGTGTGTTTGGTGGTACCGGTTCCACAGTCTGCTGATCACAGACTGTGACACATTAAGCATGTTGTCTACTGCTCGCTGTGTAGAACTCATTTGAAACATGTCAATAGCACGTAGACCTTTATCATGTTGAAGACGTCTCATTGCAAATTAAACGTAACACACTGAAGCAAAGATACGCTAAACAGTAAATCTTATGCAAGAACCGACAGCAAAGCAAACATGGATAGGATAAACCAGCACGCGGCAGTTTCCATCAACCATTCCTTGGAGTGTCAAATTTGACAATGAACCCCTGCCACGTGTATGGCTCTATTGCGGGTCGCACGTGCAGCTCAGTGGTTCTGTTGGGGCGATACGTTCTTCATCTGTGAACATACTCTCAAGGCATGTCAAGAGACCATAACTATTTATCATATCACAACCTGCATAGGTATTTGCATTTCAATATCCCCTACTTTTTTTGAAGAGTATTATACGATGGAGACGATGTGAAGATTCAACTATCAAGCATCTTCCTCTTCGTATTTTTAGAGGCTGAAGACAAGAAACGACCATTTTCAGCTACCACCCTTAACACTCAAGCCATAATTGATGGAGTCAACCACTTGTGTGCGTTGAATTAGGATTGGTTAACGGACGTTTCCCCTATTCTCGGGCACCTAGAACCCCCTAATCTTCAACGTACGGACAGTCTGGGACAGAGGTCCATATTTGACGCAATTATACTGGATATCAACCACATAAAAACTCCAAATACCCGGTTACGCACGGGTAATGGAGGTTCTTTTTTTAGCTAACGTCAAGAAAGAGTTATGCCCTTTGCCGAAATAAATCGCATAATGTATTGCTAATTTACATATCACTTTCATTCCTGTCGTATTTCTTATTTATGTATATATTTCTCGTGCAGTTGTATTTCTTATATTTCTCTTTCATTCTGCGTTATATTTCTAAATGCTTATTTACACATTTATCTTTTATACCGTGTTATATTATTTACACTTCTTCCATTCCGTGTTGTATTTTATTTTTATTTACATATTTCTCTTCCATTCCGTGTTGAATTTTTTATTTATTTACATAATTCTTACTCATTTATAGATTTTTCTTTCATTTCGTGTTGTATTTCTAATTTATTCTCATATTTCTATGTTTAATAAAGTATGTTAGATCTACTAATTTCTATCGAGTATTGTATGAACATTGAACACTACCCATGCCTACTATTTGACTAAAGTTGATTTTCTTTTGTAATTATGAAAATAAGGTACCTGGTCACACCTGGCACCAGGTAAAACTGAAAAGTAGGTACCAAATCTAAATAGTCTGACAAAATATTATTAGGAAGCACAATTTACCGGGATATACTCATTAAAGGATGCAATAAAGTTTTGACTTTAGAAATACTCGAATTATATTTAATTATAGGTTAAACTTTTAAAGGGCGCATGGCTGTATTTTTTAGAACGTTGAAATAGACAAAAATGGTTCTAATAGCACATATTCATGTAAAGAGGCCCGTAACTAGCTCAGAGCAACGAGGGGGAGCGGAAAGTGTTCTCAGGAGTGCTGTACAATTGACGGACAATGTATATCTTTTGTTTTTATGGTCGACAATTTTTTCACAGGTGGTGGGCGGTGGGACGAAACCTTTTGCAAGGGTGGTGGGGGTGGGGGGGGCGTTGCCCCCTCCCCGGTTACAGGCCTGGTTTGAGGAGGTTGATTCCATCTGGCGCGTGACAATTTTGAATTTCTGCAAATCTTATGTTAGGTTTTGTATGTGAATGCCCTGTGCTTTGTGTTACAAGTGTGATGTTTACCTAAATATGCTGTCTTCCATCCTTTCAAAAGGGAGAATAATCAAAGCAAACAGAGTACACATACACAACACATAAGACATATTTAGAACTAATTTTAATTGATATCAATAAAATGAAAAGACAATAAAAATAAACTTATATTTAACAATTCTACTATGATATTATCTATTACACCATTTGTCACATTTTATTCTCAAATAATCAGATTTCTATTTGTAACCAAACAATTAAAATAAATCTTATATCCATGCAGAACCCGATCAACATGATGTTATAGTTGACAATCGTATTTCTTTCTGCCTTTAAATAACATTATTTACAAACCCATTCTTAAAAAAAAATGGTAAGTTTTCCCTTGTTATATATTTTTTGAAGAAGTCGCATGTTATGATGTTTTCTGTATATTGTTCTTTATAAGCGTATTTCTGGTTAAACTGTTGATCTGCGACTATCTATTTAGTTCATCTGGTATTTTATTCTTTACAGTTAATATAATCAAGAACCAAACCTTGAAGATTCAATGCCCTCGGAACCGATCGTCAAGGGAGGCAACACTAGATTTGAATATGGAATAAGACTAGTAGTAATTCTGACTTCATCAATTTCAAATCCAGGACAGTTGTTGGCGTATAACCCTTTTTCTTAACATCCCGATGACCTTAATCTTTATAACCACGGTGTCTGCTGTCATTAACTCTAAACTTAATTTTATTCTAACATGTTCGGGCTTTAATGCTATTGTACAAAATAAAATGGCATATTACAATTCATTTGATGTGACCATAAACATACCCCATAATAATGCTTTGTAATCATAAAATAGGGGCAATTGATGACTCTCTTAAACTTCTCTACATTTTCGTGACGGTTTATTCGTTCTTCCGTGATTATGGTCTACTAAAATATACATACAACCCGTCACCTAAACTACTGTCATGTCAAATGAGGGTGATTAATGATGTATACAAAATAAAATATTTTTAGCCCATTAAATTACATCTGGATGTCTACAGTTACAGCCCTATTCATTTAAAGTGGACATGATTTCAATTAAACGGCTAGCAACTTAAGCAGTGGGTTAAGAGCGTATATTGTAATTAAGAAAAGTAAGTTAAATAATCTCTTGATGTCGAAGTAAACAACTAAAAACTCTTAAGACAATGACATTATTCAAATTCTAGACACATATTGGTTATATCATAAGTAAGTAGATAGGGTTTAACATATTAGTTAGATATTCTCTTGACCTCGAAGTAAGCAATTAAAGAAAATCTATGATCGGATTTTTTTAAAAAAAACAACAAACCAAAACCAATAATAATTATTATACATAATAACAAAGATTGGCATTTGAGAACCAATCTTTCGTAACATTTGAAACTCATTTCAAGATAACTGGATACAATTTTGAAGTATTACCCCATCACTTCAAAAACTATTATAGGTATACGAAGTTTGTAAGAAAACAAGCCTTGCAAACTGCACTGTAGACTTTTTTGATTTTGAAAACTATTGATAAATTTTCAACTTGGACGAATCGACATACAGAAAATAGAAACTATATATGTGCTTAAAAGAGTAAAACAGTTCTTCCCATGACAATGGTACTTTTAAACATTGCCCATTCTTTAAATAATAGTCTTTCTAAATGGCCCTGGTATTATAACATAGATCTGAAACCTGTACAAAAGACGTTATCCGCGTGAAGCGTTTAAAGTATCCGTAAGCCACTCCCTGTTTTCTATTTTTACCACGATGTACAATAAAATCGGCTATTGGAATCAGGGCAGCAGACGTACTCGACTATACCAAAACAATGGGAAGAGGAACATTACCCACAAAAAGTTACGAATACCCGTTGCCTTGGGTGATTTTATTACAAAACTCTAAATACGAGGAATGGGTGCATCTGATGGTGGAGGTGTTGGTGGTGGCGGTCCTTCATGGAGCTGTCTTAATCCTAATGCTTCCATTTGAAAGTGGTCTAATCTGCGAGGATCGTTCCCAGGTTGTGGACGAGCACCAGCGGACGAATACGGAGTACCATGTGGAGGGGGAGGACCTGCCCTTTGTGATGGGGGTCCCCTAGGTGGTGGTGCAGCTACGCGTGGTGGTGGTGGTGGTGCAGCTACGCGTGGTGGTGGTGCAGCTACTCGTGGTGGTGGTGCAGCTACTCGAGTTGGTGGAGCTGCTAATCGTGGAATATAAGTTTGCTGTTGATTTCGTGGTGGCGTAGCAGGTGCCGATTGCTGGGTTGGTACATATCGAATTGTAGGCTCAGGGGGTGAATATTGTTGCGCAGGTGGAGGTGGCGGTGGGGCTGCATAGGTTCTTTCCCTGACTACTTGTCTAACTGCTGGTTCTGCGTAACGTATCTCTTGTGGTGGTGGTGGCTGTACAGGTGCTTTGGGTGGCGGATAGTACGGATCGACCCGTTCTGCTGCTTGCGATTGATAATATCTCCTCGGTGGTGACTGGTTGTATACTGGTCTAGCACTAGGGGTGTATATCGTTTGTGATGTGGGCAAACTCCTATCGAATGTTACAACACTGAAATTATATTAATCAATAAAGTGAAATTTACAACGAGCAGTCCTTACACCATTTTGATTTTAATTTTAGGTTTAAACGATGTCGGAAGGCTATTAACATGACTCGGGTGGTTCGAGACGGTGTGTGCCAAGTGCTAAAGGTATATTCAAAGTGGGAGAGTAACACTTTCCAGTACTTCAGTTCATGTGTCTACACTTACTGCAAATGCGTATACTGGACCCATCCCACGTTGTTTTCGTCACGTTCCCATTTGGCAAATAGTATCTGTTGTGTTGGAAATAGTTAGTATATCGTTTCACGTCCACATCGCATAGAGAAAACATATGAAATTGTATGCTATGATGCAATAAGACATAAATGAGCGTTAGTGGCACATCAGAAATACATATAATCTTTACTGTGTCTACAGCCTGTACAGAAACATAATTTATTGAGAGTTGTCGTCACCCCCCCCCCCCTTCTATCTTATATCACTGGTATGATTTTGGGCCGGAATAAAATTATTGTCACGAGAAGAGATGATTTAATTAAAGAGACTTACAATCTACATCCTCCTTGAAGTGTTTTAAACTCCATTATTCCTGGTTTAAATACAGTGTCAAATTCCTGGCACATCGAAACAATTTTAAAGGACACACCGTTGACCGTTTTTTGGTAAATAGCGCCATCTGTATCTGTCGTAGGTCGAGGCTGTGTATCTGAATGAAAAATGCATTTACAAGATGAAAGTCTTTGCTGGTATATGATATAAAATTATTGAAACTTAAAGGAGGCAAGTCTTAACTCAAATCATTGCAAACACAACTTATTTGTCAATTTAAATCAACATTGATGTTGTCATCTTACCGTGAAAAGATGGGCTTTTGATATCCAATATTTAAAACAAAATGAAAATTTTAAAATTGGCACACGGATCGCGTGCTGGAATTACTTCCTAGTTTCATTTTTAATGAAGCGACTCGGTGAGAGAGGCTAAACATACCCCACTGAATAAGATTGCCATTCAATTTGGACTCTTCGCGTATGTCGCCGAACATAACTGATTAGAAATTACATTAAAAACAGAAAAGATCAGTAAATCAGTTTATATACATTCATATTACATTATCATATGCATTTCGACCCATTTGTATCCATTTCTAGGTGCCAAAAAATAGAGATTTAGATCCTTTAATTAATTTGGACGTGGATACAGGTATAATGTCTCTTGTGGAAATTAATACAGTTGAATCCAGTTATCGCGAAACTGGGGGGAGCAACATGAGATATTCGACAAAAAAATGTTGAGACGGCTTCATTAGTATTTTAACCAACAGGCAAGAAAACGTATTGTCGGACTTGGGACAAAATATATAATTTCGAGTCTTCTGATTATTATACAGCGTAGACGTGGCATAATGTGATTGGTTACACGCAGAGATCAGTACCTTATTTTAAAAACACGAGAGAAAATGTTAAAAAAATTCATAATATTATGAATTATTAAAATAAATTTCATCTTTCTGACGGAAGAAAAATTTTTTTTTTTAAATGATCATGATTACCACATGTCTTTGGGGGTCTTTGTTCTTGGTAGTCAATGCCACTCATGTGGATTTCATCTGACTAAAGTCACATCAACTGTCAATCAATGTCAAAAACATAATTTAATACGATAATATCCTGTCATATATTTTTTTGTGATGGGATTACGTTCACTATTACTGTTTATAGCTTACCAATGTCACAATAAAAGGGATAACCGAATAACTTATATTCAAATTCGGCCTAAATATAGTTCCGATTATCAAGGCAATATTCCAAGATGTCTGCGACGAGGTTATGCTCTGTTACTGAAATTGACTCGCTAATATTTGTGATTTAGAAATTGACACAAATGCATATAATAATGTATATAAACTGATTTACATTCAATTGTTTCCGTTTTTACTCTAATTTCAAATCAGTTACGTTCTGCGAAATACGCGCGAAGTCTCAATCGAATGGCAATCTCTAGCGTCTGGTTATTCCGGTAGTATCTAATGCGCATGGTATGCAGATAAGAATATGCCGTCACCGTTTGATATGATTTCTGTGATATGTCTAGGCTCATTCTTCAAATCCCTTGTTGCAAATGGCGCTGAAACGCATTATGGTACACGATTCGTCCACCAATGGTAAAATGTTTATTTTGTCTTAAATATTGGATATCAGAAGCCCTTCTTTTCCCGGTAAGATCACAACATCAATGTTGATTTAAATTGACAAATAATTCGTGTTGATGATATTGAGTTAAAGATTTAGCTACTGTAAGTCTGTCATTAGAATGACTCCATTTTGGAGCTAAATAATCCTGAAAGTTGCAGCCCACCTGCTTAAAATCACCATAAAACATGTCCGGCTAAAACAGTATCATGCTGAATGACAGAAGGCAGTTTATACCAACCAAAATATTATACTTACATGATGGCGAATATGCAACGGAATTAGTCTCCCTCCGTTGACCATGGACTAATATAGTACCTGGAACATATAACGATGGACTAAATATATTACTAATATTAAAAAATTCATTGTTTATTTTAGAATATAAACGATATGTCGTCACACAATTCGTCAGCCCAATTGCTCAATAATGTTCAACATTACCATACATTTATCCATTCGTAAATGGTCAATTAGTAGAAAAACCAGCTCCTACATTTGGAATTAAGCACTGGGGACTAAGGATATTAACCAGCTCCCCTTAATTCATAACTATTCTCAATTTTTCCCATGTCCTCATTTTTGCATGTAGGGCGGAGGACCTGACAAGGAGCAACCTGTGGTCTCCCGGACAAGACAAAAAACCGAGGTCCCGTGTACACGTAAAAAGAACCCTTGATCGTTAGAGCTGTAAATAAGTGAGGACTGTGGCGCCATTGTGACGTTAAATCCCATCTAGAAACGAGGAAAAATGTTGGAATTTACATATTATGTCAGGTTGTGATGGAGAAAAAAAGATTTAGCCTCGGGTGCTATCCCGAATAATTCCCTAGATACTTCCAAACACAACCAGCGGCTGCCAGGCAGGATACGCCCACATTTTCGAGAGATGGATAGAAAACAAGCTAAAACGAAAGTGATTTTTCCTACAATCAAGGGCCATAATTCAGGAAATTACAATTCGATATGCGCAAATATCGAAAGGAAACAAGATCTTTGAGTTATAAACTTACATTTCAAGTTTCAACAAAATCAGATAAAAATTGTGACCTCTATAGGGTCCACAACCTTGATATACCATATTTTTACGCTATTTGAGAACGAGGGGCGGCCATTTTATCTGTCAATTTTTGGCCGATTTTCACGAAATTCGAACTCAGTCGTCCTTAGTGTGTAACGGTGATATAATAATACGTTTTTTTAAATCGGATAAAAAATATGACCTCTATAGGGTCCACAAGCTAAAAACGCGATTTTTCGTACAATCAGGGGCCATAATTCAGTAAGTTACGGTCCGATATGCACGAATATCGAAAGGAACCAAGATCATTGGGTTATAAACTTACATTTCAAGTTTCAACGTTTTTTTTAAATCGGATAAAAATTATGACCTCTATAGGGTCCACAGGCCAAAAAACGCGTTTTTGCGTACAATCAGGGGTTATTATTCATGAAGTTACGGTCCGATATGCGCGAATATCGAAAGGAACCGAGATCTTTGGGTTATAAACTTACATTTCAAGTTTCAACAAAATCGGATAAAAATTGTGACCTCTACAGTGTTCACAAGTCAAAAACGTGATTTTTCGTACAATCAGGGGCCATAATCCATGAAGTTAAAGTCCGATAGATGCCAAGATCTTAGGGTGATAAACCTATATTTCAAGTTTCATTGAAATCGGATAAAAATTGTGACCTGTAGACTGTTCACAAACAATTGTGGACGGACGGACGGACAGGGGCGACGACAATATACGTCCACATGAAAATGTGGGCGTATAAAAAGGTCTGAAAGCTATTGTCTACTTTTATCCATTGATTTGATTGGTAGTAAATATTTAATCGGGGACTTATATAGCCACAATTATCCCGATCGAATGGTCGAGATAAGCCAATTATTTTGGCCTATGAAATCCGAATGTCACTACTAACTGGGTGAGCAACAATTTTCAGGGGCTTTGTGTGTCAAAAAATCCTCCGATATTAACTATAGCCCCTGCAAAGACATGAAATATTGTTTTTGTGAACTCAACTCGGGGGCTAGAAATAATGTGACCAATAAACTAAGCAATAGAATTTTGTTTGATGATATTTTATAAATAAATCATTATAGCTTTTTATGCGTTTTAGATAGGTGATACTATACATAAAATAAATTTAACATAATTGAATTTTAACTGCATTCCTAAAACAAGTGAAAAATAGTATCGAGTGTTTCGGAAAGAGCAAAACAACCAGTGCCCCGTGTACTAATAATAAATTGAGCGACATTTAGCGAATGAGCACAATAAAAAAATAACATAACCGATATATGCAAAATCAAATACTGGTTAAATGTAATGAATATAACAAGTTGTCAAAATGTCGTACATATATGTGTGCAAATCACTGATTGTTTCACATATAAATTGGGTCGTATTACTATTAACCATTGATTGCAATTATTCATCTTAATTATATCTGACCCCAATCGATTTAATATCAATAATTATGAACAATTAATAATTAATAGTGTTTTCCCTTTTTACCCCGGGATTAAGATGGCCACGTACAATAAAGGGCGCATGAGTTCTTTTATACAGCTCAGTCTGACAAATGGATTTATTTATGATTTCAATCATGATAGTGACTTGATCGATGGATTCTGACAGATTTCAAAAGAAATATAAGTAAGGATACCCGACTATGCAAATGGTATAAATAATTTACTTACCGAAAATAAGCAGTAAACAGAGGTTCCTCTGTTTAACGTCCATTTTTGAAAAAGGCGGAGACGAATATGTTGAATGTAGCTTATCATCCGTGGAAAGGGTCGGTCGGCGATGAAATTTAAGAGTTTGTCAGATATTCACTGACAAAAAGAGAACGGGTAATTAATGCCCCGTGGATGTAATGTTGTTTAAAGATCCATGACCTATTTGACTACCCAAAATACACAAATGTCATGATAGTTCCTTAATGGACAAACTTAATAATCACTCCATCAAGCCCTGGGAAATTGGAATTGAGAACTCATGTATGACAAGTTGAGTTCTAAGTGTAATTAAATGTTATTTTGTAGTCTATACATGATATTTAATTCTATATCCCTTTTTCGGATTGTATTTTTAAGACAAATGATCAGATACATACCTCTTTGTGAATCTCCTTTTCCATACTGGTCGTTAAAGGGATTTTATATGTTGAAGATATAGACTTGGAAGCCAAAAATAAATCAATTTTTATTCTACGGACAATCGTGATTTTATACTAATGGGTCGACGCCATTGCCGAGGAAAAGAATTTTATTATAATATTTCTGTTTGTTTGAGCTATCAATATATCATTGATGAAAATCCCATTTTCTGTTTTTGCTATCTACGGATAAAAATATATCCACTATTTTGTTTTTAAATATTTTTTTATACAAAGATTACATTACACACCTGATCAACAGTTCATGTAATTGCGGTGATAATTAATACTATAAACAATACAGCAGTAATAATCCACTGGAAAATCGGCAAATGACATTTCGGTCTTTCACTGAGTTAAATGGTATAGATCTGACTGGCGTATTCCCAGTAACAGTGGCTTATCTTAGGATTTCAAAATGGGTTGCGATGGAGAGTGTGTGGCGGTGTGTTTGCATGGGAGGGGGTGCGCAAAAATGGAGGTTAAATAAAACAAAAGCACTCAGCCCCGCCCTCCCCCCCCCACACACAACATACAATACGTAAGGGGCTGGGGTACTATTGTTTTCTGTCGGGACATTAGAAAGATAGATACAAGACGGCTCATACTGTTGTATTATTCCATGAAAAAAGCATATTGTTTAACAGTTGACGTAGGCCTGAAGCCTAGTTTATTGTGTTGGTCGAGGGGTGGGGTGGAAGTACGCTACTACTTACATGTTAAATTCCGAACCCATATCTGTTGGGATGAAGCGTCTACATTAGCATACCAGTTCAAATAATTTCTCATCGTCTTTCATAATAATGCAGAAAACACCACAATGAATTGTAATCACAGATTATTATTTTAAAAGTATGTAAAACTCCAATGTTAATATATTATCGTACATGATGTTATACAAACATTACTCACAAATAAAAATGAATTGTCAACTAAATGTCCAAATTGTCTGTCAAAACATTTGACATTTTTTGTTGAAATCTTAAATTGCCTCTCGGCATGCAAATGATTAAAATAGAGACCATAAATCAGTTTTCTTACCGTAATTTAAAGAAGACTCTAATTATTGCCATGTCGTTGAGTGTTTAACTGTTGAGTTAGCATAAAACGCAGTTTAACTACGCAAGATCAGCTTATTTCCAGCAAAATTGGATCATATTTTAAAGTCCCTATGTGTCATTTTAAGTAATAGGGATCACTAATAATACAAACTATTGAAGATTAATATCTCTAATAGGAACATTAGTCCAATAATGGTTCAAATCCGTTCAGTATTTACAAAGATATGTGGAATTGAAATTTGATCGATCTTTGCTGCTTACTATGCAATAAGCCAATCACCATTTTTTGTCCATGAAAACTTAATGATAGACTTGTTTTAAATTCGATTGAATCTTAGCCGGGATATTATCTAGCGTTGGCATTTTGGTTTAGTATTCTTAATTAACTGTTAAATAATCAATCTGAGTACAAATTAGCGTGAATAAGCTAATATTTTAGCGACAAACGCCAATGGCGCGTCCTTACTTTAATATATATTATAACCGCTTATCTCATCTAGAAACGACATTTCTAATTATGCCAGTTTTTCGGATCTATTTGGTCTGAACTTTCGATTACGTCGAGTTTTGGTTGTGGTCGGTGAAGTCTTAGCAGGGGTATTGGCATATAATATTTTTTTTTTATGTCTCCTCAAACTTGTACCATGGATTTAGCTAGTTTTATGCTAGATTACAATGATCGGAATAGAGTTTTACATTTGGCTAATAATACATTTAAAATTTTCATTTTCGTTACTATGGTCACAAACGCAATGCTAAAGAAAACGAATTATGGCCGGACGGACGGCAAATTTGGGGATTTAAAAGTCAGTTATAATTCCATACTGAACATGCAGTAAGCACAACATTATTTTAAGCATCTACGGTTAAGCAGAAAATGTACCATGAAAACGGAAGTATAATTCCAAGTTTATAGATAAGTGATTCACTATTTTAGTTCTTATTAATATATTATACTGAAATAAAAAATATAAACACAAAGTGAGCATAGAATTTCAATTCAATACATCACAATCCCCAATCCAGACAAAATAATCCTTTAGATATTGGGAACTGGTGCTTTAAAAATGAATTTACCGGTGTCATAAACAAATAATATACACAAAATGAATTTACCGGTTTCAAAAACATATTATACACAAAATACACCTTTATGGCCTTAATGGGTACAAACACATAAAACTTCAAATACAAAACGATCCTATGATAATCACATATAAAATCAATCAAACGCACACGAAAGTATATATATAAACAACAAAAATTCCTCATCGTTTTTGAAGTTTGAATGATAGATCTCTTAACATCGATCAAGGTAACTGGATTTTTGTCACCTTTCAGTCAAATAGTGATACAGTATTATTTATATTAGTTTTTCGTCCTAGACATCATCATCATCATCATCGTCATCATCCTCATCATCATCACTGCTTTCCCCTCCGCTTGTGTCACTATTTGTAGTGATATATTGCTGATTAGAAGGCAGTCTAAATCCATTAGACAGAGGATAAGTTGATCTCTGATTTTGATAATTCTGGTTAACCCTTGCGTTATGTCCACTATGAGTCGAAGATGACCGATGGGCTACCTGCGTCCAGTAACTATGATGTACCGGTCGATATGTTCTAGAGGATGCATCCCAGTAGTATCTCGGTGCATTGGTCGCTGATGGATAATTAACGTGCATTGGTGAAATTTGAAGGGGATACCGGTTCGTTTGTTTTGGATTATACGCCGGAGTTAAATTTTGAAGCGAAGAACTAGGGTGTGTTGGCATTGATGTAGTGGGTGGGTGCTGGGGATAACCCTGCTGTTGGGGAATGGGGTATGAATATACCGAGGGAACGTGTTGGTTTGTATTTATAACTCTAGGAATACCCTTAGGATATTCTGCTTGGTATATAGGAACTGAAGATCCTGGTGGTTTCTGGAGATGGCCTTGTCGTGTGTTACTAGTGCTTAGGTATGAGACTTGCTGGTTTTGGTTTATACTTCCACTGGAGTTAACAATCGCGCTTGGTTTCTTGTAATTAGGACCGTTTTCTAAACTTGACCCGTTTTCCACTCTATGAAATACAGTTGTCATTCCCAATTTCTGTTTCAGGTCACGCATCATTGCACTTCTTGGCGGTATCCTACTCATAGCCCTATTTATATTAATGTTCGTTTCTATGTTCTCTTTTAATTTCGCGGCTATGTCCTCAAACAATTTATGATTATCTACACCAAGATGAAAAGCAGTAGTGTATGTAGCATGGCCGCTGTTCACTGGATTGTAAGATTGCTGGGCAAATGGCAGATTGTTTACAGTGTTGGCTCGAATGTTATAGTCCTTCATATTAAAGGTGCCGGAATAGTGCTGAAGATTATCAGTCGCAGGGACAACCGTAATTGGGTCGGGAACAGAGGAAATCATAGGATCTGGTTGTGTAGGTGCGATCGCGGTATCCAAAAGACGACTAAAATTAGCGGGCGATTCAACAAATTTCGGACGGGTGATTGGTGGTGAGATTGTACTAATCATTTGTTTCACCGGCGATTTAGTTAGTTCAGTATTAGATTGTGAATTAAACGAACTCCTGTTATTAAGAATCACCGGAACCGTACGATCTGGTTGTCCATGTGCCATCATGTTTGACCAACGGTAATTAACATTAGATTCAGTATTTTCAGGAAAGGAAATTGTTGGAGGGTTTGCACTATTTATACCCATCAGCGGAACATTAGTACTTTGGGGTATCCAAAGTGGCTGCACATCATTATGAACCATCTTCTTGTTAGTAGTTCCTTCGGTATTATCGTTTGATTTGAATGGATCCTCGTTATGAACAATCCCGGCCAACGCGGGTTCTGGTCTTCGTGTGGCGGTCATGGTCGCCCAGAATGGATTGACATTAGCGGATGATTGGTTGCTTTTTGAAATGGCGATTGTTGGTGAGCTTATGCTGGTTATTCGTTTCACCAGAGTATTAGTATTTTGGGGTATAAAATGTGGTTGCATAGGCACGGGCTCAGTCATCGGGCTGTTAGTAGTTGGTCCGGTGTTATCTTCTGAATTGGATGGAGTTTCATCATGAGGAATTGTGGACACTGTAGCCCAAAATGGATTAGCGGATGATCGATCGCCTTTTGAATTGGCGATTGCTGGTGAGCTTATACTGGTTATACGCTGCATCAGAGCATTAGTACTTTGGGGTATAAAATGTGGCTGCACAGCCTCCGTCGCGAGCTTTTTGATAGTTGGTTCGTCGTTATCTTCTGAAACGGATGGATCCTCGTTGTGACGAATCGCAGACAGCGTGGGTTCTACTTTCTGTGTGGCGACCAAGGTTGCCCGAAGTTGATTGAGTTTAGTGGATGATTGGTCACTTTTTGAAATGGCGATTGTTGGTAAGCTTATGCTGGCTATACGTTTCGCCAGAGCATTAGTACTTTGGGGTATGGAATTTGATTGCACCGCCCCAGTCGCCGCGTTGTTCGTAGTTGGTTCGGTGTTATCATCTGAATTGGATGGATCCTCGTTATGAAGTATTGTGGACACCTTGGGTTCGGGTATTC